GACACCAACATCCTGCGCGTCAGCACCCCGGCGCGGCTGGCCCAGCTCCTGCTGCCCGCCGCCGGCCCCGGGCCGCCCGCCGACCTCCACTGCGTCCTCGTCACGGTGAGCCGGGGGGGGCCGAGCACCGCCAGCGCCCCGGGTCTCGGAGCATTGTGCTGGCTTTTCGTGCGTCTTGCGTCGTGCAAGCGCTGCAAGTGGATGAGGACACACTCGTAGTCCTTTAGCCACCGGTTCCTGCCGCCCCCCCATCTCCCGAGGGACGCGGGGTGCTGCGGGGGGACAGCCCCGTGCTGGGCAGCGCAGGCAGCTCCTCCCGACACAGGCAGCCGGCGCACTGTGGCAGTCTGGCCATAAGGCATAACTCGTCTTTCCAGTAAGCAATGATGACTATGCAGAGCACGTCTTTTATCCTGCAAAGCCTGGAATCGAGCGCAATTTCAAAATGTCATTTGGTAAAACCGGAACTGACCGCGCCTGGGGCACGGCTGCGGCCCTTGCTCGGGGCTCGGACCCGCATCCGGCAAGTGGGCTGGCACGGAGAGGGCCCCACGGGACCTGTGAGGGCCCAAAGGAAACTTTTTTTAGGTTTGTTTTATTTTTTTTTATTTTTTCTACTCTGCCCTGGAGTCCAAGGCTGCAAAACTTCTCACATGGTTCTGGGGTTGGTTGGTTTGTTTGCCTTAGTGGTAATTTAAGATGATTCATGCTCCTGGGTTTTCTGCTGTGCTTCCCCCCCACCCCCTTCTCTTTCTGTTGGGGTGGTTTTTGCTTCTCAATTAAAACACTCCCCCTGCCCCCCCCCTCTCTTTCCAGAACCCCCATTCCTCGCAGTGGAAGGATCCAGCGCTGAGTCAGCTGATGTGCTTCTGCCGGGAGAGTCGCTACATGGATCAGTGGGTGCCAGTGATTAACCTCCCCGAGCGGTGACCGCGCCGGGATGAAAACGAACTGAACCGAATTGCACTGAAGTTTTGCAATACTTTAGCAGTTGCTCAGGAAATAACTCCCTGCCCTGGCACAAGGATTACAGGGGAGGGGGGAGTAAAAAAAAAAAACCAACAAAAAAAGATAAAACTGATGTCAAGGGGGGTAGGCTGAAGTTGAACTACATCTTGTGTGGGACTGAAGAAAAGTGACTCCGAAGCGATGGGGATGCGTGGAAGCGAAGGGAAGACCAGCACCTGCGTTGCCGGAGGAATGAGCCCTGCCTGACAGGCAGGGGTGCTGCACTGCCGACTTACAAAAAACACCCAACACCCTTCATGGTCTTTTAAAGTGCAACTTACAGTTTCTGGTTTAAATACCTTAAAGAGCAAAAAGGTTAATCGAAACATTTTACAAACAATTTTATTGTATTTTTGGGATGTTAATTCTCAAGTTTTTATGCTAAGATATATAATAAGTTATTTTATGATATTGATGAAAAAATTATTTATATTTGGAGGTTTGAGAACCAGAATACCCTTAAGCAGTTGGTCTGCAACCACACATCTTTTAACAGTTGGCTGTTAAAAGCAGCTACATTAATATAATCGTTTGAAATTGGATAGTGTTTTGTTTTTTGGGTTTTTGGTTTTAGGTTTGTTTTTGTTGTTTTTTTTTTTTTTGAAATAAAAGTTTAAACTCAAACCCTCGGTCCTGGGTTTTATTGTCTTACCCTATTCATTAATGTACAGTCAAAAGGGCTCATTTGGCAGCTGCTTCCTTGTCCTGGCCATGGGCAAGGTCCTGTTGTGCTGGTCCGCTGTGGGTTTATTCCTAGCTCCTCCCATGCCATTAAATGAAAAAGCAGCTGATGTGCCGCAGGAAATGTTGGGAATGTTACTTATTTTTCTTGAATGCTACCACTTAAAAGCAGAGTTTAAAAAAAAAAGCATTATTTTAGAGGCTCCAACACTTCTGCAGAGCCTGGGTCTTCTTGGAAAGTGGGGAAACCTGATTCCTTGTAGGAGGAAAACTTGACCTGATGTTTCCTTTTCCAGGAAGGTGTCTGTCCAAGCATTGCACCACAGACTGCTGCAAACCCTCCTGGATTTGTTCCCTGTGCCCCCCAGGGTTAGGTGGTTTCTGTGCTAGGCTCCTCTTTTAATTACGTATCTACACTGGCACATGAAGCGCCATACTCCGTTGGCAGAAATCTCCAGGCCCCAAGAGAGCAGGAAAACAGTCTCCCTCACACCCACACTGCTTGCTGCTGGCAAAAGCCCTGTGCCGCCCACACTCCCTCCGCCGTGCTGCCTGGGGGAGGCCGCAGGGACGCTGGTGACCTACATCAGGGCTTCCCTAATTGCACGTGTGTGCCACACCCCAGTGCACTGCCTCCTGGCACCCGGCTCAGATGCCGCCCAGCTTGCTGGATCCCACAGCCCTTGTGTCCACCCCAGCAGTGGCAGCAGGGGGTCACTCTGTCCCCAGCCCCAGCAGGATCGAGTGCCAGCCCAGCCGGGTGGCGAGGCTGGACCAGTTCTCCCGCTCCCCAGATGCTCAGGATGGCACGCTCCGGCACGAGGCCGCCCATCCCTGTCCCGCACGGTGCTGCAGGGCCACATCACCTGCCCTGCAGCAGCCTCACGCTGTGTCCAGCACGTAGCTCAGGAGCAGGAAGGCACTGTCCTCAGCCCCGAGGGACATGGGACGGCTGCAGGAGTGGGATTGCACAGGAGCAGCACCGCCATCAGCCCATGGCAGCACGCAGGGGCTCCTGCCCACCACAGCACATGCCTGAGGAAAAAACACATTGAGCCCCAGCAGCAGCCACCAACAAGGAGGTTAGGTCAGGCTCAGACATGGTAGCTGCACAAAATGGGAGTTTTCTGAACATAGTATTTTTAGCTTCATTACTATGGCACGTATTCAGCATCAGCATTTCAAAAGCAAATACACTCCCAAGAGTTGAGCCACTGGCTGTTGCCTCCATTCACACGTATTTAAAAAAATCCTCTTTCTGTTGCATGTTACTTTAGCAGCACAAATGTAAGATATTGAAGAAAAAGTTTAACCACATCTAACCATAAACACATACAAATCCAGCTCTGGGGATCTTTTACACTCCTTTGTTGTTGTACACCAGACGCTCTGTTGCTCTTCCCTAAGTGTGTAACAGAGGATGGGTGGATCAATCACATTTTTGGAATTAAAGTTAATTGCAAACATTTGCAATTTCATTGAGCTCAACCTTGAGCAGAACCCCCCTGAACCCCTGGTTTCTCCTCATGTCTCCCCCAGCCCTTGGCTCCACGCTACAAACCGCCTGGCCAGGACCCACGCGTGGCCCCGGGGGCACATGGCTCAGCACACACCCGTGTACCCAAACACTCTTTTTTTTGCCCCCCAAACCAGCCAGCTCCAAGGGGGGGGGTGTCCCATCTGGATGCATGTCAAGCCCTCCCAAAAACATGCAGGCAAGAGGGGCCCCAATCCCCCGAGCAGCCGCAGCCAGAAAAGGCAAAGCCAGACCGGAGCCCAGCAGTGCCCACCCGCTGGGGAAGCACCGGCTGCCGGAATGGTGGGAAGGGCGCCAGGAGAGGTGGGAAGAGCATACAACACGTACTGGGAAGGACGTTAATTCTCATAACCAGCCAAAAGGAGGAGTAAGCAGCAGCTGCATGCGGCGATGGGACATCTTTGGACCGCAGAGTGGGGCCTGGAGAGCTGGACTTGAGATCCTGCTCTACCCTCTGATGACTGCACCCCTCGGTTAAAATGGGTGCTGGTTTGGGGCTTAATTGCACTGCAGCCTCAAAAACAAAAACTATCAAGACAAGAGCGACAAGTTCAAGCAAAATCTTATCGTTTTTGGCAAAGCACAGTGTGAGGAGCTGCCTGGCCGGCCTGCCGGCTCCCTGGGCAATGTCTGCGCCTTGCACAGAGGACTGCAGCCCCCAGGGGATGGCCCTGGGGAGGGAAACCTGCACTCTGGGGATGAGGATGATGGCCCTGCACCTGGCACGTTGAGCTAAGCCAGATGAGGGATAGGTCGGGATTGCCTGGGGACAAAGGATGTGGAAAGTAATAAAAAAAGAAAAAAAAATAACCTCCCCCCAAACAGAACCAAGGCTTTACCTAAGGGTCTTTAATAAATCTAAACTTTTTTTTTTTTTTTAAATAAAGAACACCCAGCTTCTGTCACTGCTCCAGGGCCAAGGTGTCCTGCAGCTCTCACCCCTGCGGCCATGCTCACCCAAATAACAGCCCCCCAATGCCCAGCCCAGAAGAACTGTGAGCAGATCTTATGGGATCTCTTTTTCCCCCTTTTAGCCCCATTGGTTTGATATGAACAGGTCCTACCTGAGACAAGATTTAAACATGACCTGCAAGCACGCTTGAGGGTCTCGGTAGGCGCACCCTGGCCATCCCACCTGGGGGTTGCAGAAGACCCATCCTGCCGTCACCCAATGCTACAGGGACAGCCAGGTTCTTTTGGGGACACTTAGCAGATTATGAGGGGTCAGGAGCAGGGGGTACTGCTCACACCTGCACCAGGTCATCCCCATCCCAACCCCACCACCACCCTTCCCATGGCAGAAACACCCAGCAATGCACCAGCGAGCCCAACCTTTGCAGCTCACCAGCTCCAGGAGACCAAGGACAATGAATGATGATAAGCTGGGAGCATAGAAAAAGCAGAAATATTTTAGCAAGAGGCTATTTTAGCAAAAGCCAGGTCTCCAAGCCACCAGCCAGCCCTTCTCCCTTTAATGCAACACAGCATTAAAGAGTCAAATTGGAAAATACAGAGAAAAACCACAAATAACAAGCTGGCTGCTTAATTTATGGGGGAAAAGAGAATAATACCCATTCTGGAGTGGTATTGGGTTCACTTGCTATAAAAGAGAGCGGCAGCACAGCGGGGCAACGCAGCTGTGCTGCCACACTGCATCTCCCTGCCACCTCACCATGCCACCTCCATGGGTTTCCCCCAGCAGCTACGGATGCAGATGGTCTCACTTCTCCTTTTTCATTCTACTACAGCAGAACCTGTATTTCCCCCGAATTTTACAATTCCTGTTCTTTCATGGGAGTATTTTACAGCAAAATAGCAAAGTGCAAACGTAACTGCTCGAGCTTTTGCATATATTTATATATATTGCATTTAAAAAAATAAAGAGTTTACTGAAAAACTATACATTAAATGCTGTCAGAAGCAGGCAGTTGCGTGCTGCTGGGTTAGCTGATGATCTCAAGTCTTCCACCTAAAACTGAGAAAGCACCTGAAAAAAACCTGGCATGGTGTTTTTAATCCTACATCTGATCACTGATGTGATCACAGCCACCTACAATCAATCCTTTTGTTCTCTGGATGTGTAAGCAAGCGTGAAATAGATGCTGCCATAGATCTTGCCCCAGCACTGCAAGAATGTCAGAATTGCATGGAAGAAGTTGAAAAACTCGGCCATGGGGCTGGACAGAGCCACAGCCAGAGCCGGGGCACACTCGACATCGGCTTGTCAAGTGCCGGCGGGTTCGTAGGAGAGAAGTGACAGAGCGAGCCCAAGGAATGTGCCAGAAGCTCTTTATTAGAAAGTACAGAGTTAAGCTCCACTATGGACATGGCGTGATGGGTGGGAATGACAAGGAGGTGGCCACGCTCCAGCTCAGGGCAGAGTACTGGCCGGACCCCACAGCTGGATCACCAAGAGTCCCTGCTGCAGGCTTTATTTAAGGGCAGACAACAGAGAAAAGCCAGATATGAACAGCATCTCTGCAGCTTCACAGGTGATCTTTTCTTTGGGGGCAGGGAGCTCTAACAAAATAAAAATGCAGATTACTATGGGGACAACAGATTGATGGGAGAACAATATTCAGGCAACAGCATGAGGTTATTTACCCACCCCGCGCCCCACGTACCTGCTTGCACACTTCTGAGCACAGCTGGAGTTCTCTCGACAGTCTTGCATACCCAAACTAAGTTAATTACTATTTTTAACAAGATGTGTTATAAAATGATAGACACAAACACAATAAAAAAATTAGTGTGGATCTACATTATTGTTTTTTAAATTGTCACTAGAAAAATACTCTAATTATAAAAATAATTTGCATGTAAGCACAGAATAAGCAGTACAA